GTATCTCGTGTCATTTTTCCAGTGTGGTTTCAGGTCCAATTTTAGCCCAGTGTGCAGCTGTGGCGTTGTGTTGAAGGGGAGGGTGGTATATCACTGTGTCACAGTGACGGCCTTAATGTAAAGGTTTCTGTATCAGAGCGACAGTCATTCAGATTGATGTTATTCTGTTGAGACAGTGTCTCAACAGAATAACATTTTGTCTTCACGTGGTTTTGGGGTTTCTTCTGAGCTCGAGTTAAGCACATTGAGCACTTTGATGAGTTGGTAGAAGCGCTCAGCTTCCCTGTCAACCTCTGGTGAGATGGGATTAAGCTTTGATCTTTCTCGCTAAAAACTAGGGAATGAGGAGACTAGTGGTGGCTACAGGAAATGAAGTCAGCGTTATTATCAAGATATATCACAAAATATCTTGCTGACATCCTCACTACTGACGCTATGTCTGCTGCTCCAGTTGTCGTCGTTGCTGCTGCTGGGTTTTCTGCTGCTGTCGTGGGTGTTACTGCTGCTCCTGCTGCAACCCAACCCCACGGTGGGGTTGGGTTGCTTGAAGTGGTCAGCACTTAACCAGGTGTCCATACCGAGCCTTCCACCCCCTGGTACAACCTCTCACGTATTAATACCAAGTGACACTGTGGCACGTATTAATACCAACAAACATTTAACTTTGCTATTCCTGGGTCACTGAACAGGCCTAGGAGTTGACTGGAAGGTATGTGTTATAAATATGGATCAATGAATGTTGCAAGACGTGGTGCAGCAAGGGTCTGCAAGACGTGGTGCAGCAAGGGCCTGCAAGACGTGGTGCAGCAAGGGCCTGCAAGACGTGGGTGCAGCAAGGGCCTGCAAGACGTGGTGCAGCAAGGGCCTGCAAGACGTGGTGCAGCAAGGGCCTGCAAGACGTGGTGCAGCAAGGGCCTGCAAGACGTGGTGCAGCAAGGGTCTGCAAGACGTGGTGCAGCAAGGGCCTGCAAGACGTGGTCCAGCAAGGGCCTGCAAGACGTGGTGCAGCAAGGGCCTGCAAGACGTGGTGCAGCAAGGGCCTGCAAGACGTGGTGCAGCAAGGGCCTGCAAGACGTGGTGCAGCAAGGGCCTGCAACATCAGGTTGATAGGAGGGCAAATGTGTGGGTGCTGATGTCCACTTGAAAATTATTCTTATTAGAGTGAAAGTAGAGGCAGGGAGAGTAAAACAGCGCCTTCGGCAAGCCAGAGTGAAACTTACCACTGGTGGGGGAGGCCATCAGCACCACTGATAGTGGAGGCAGAAATATCAGCACCACTTATAGTGGAGGCAGAACTATCAGCATCACTGGTAGTGGAGGCAGAGCTATCAGCATCACTGGTAGTGGAGGCAGAACTATCAGCACCACTGGTAGTGGAGGCAGAACTATCAGCACCACTGGTAGTGGAGGCAGAACTATCAGCACCACTGGTAGTGGAGGCAGAACTATCAGCACCACTGATAGTGGAGGCAGAACTATCAGCACCACTGATAGTGGAGGCAGAACTATCAGCACCACTGATAGTGGAGGCAGAACTATCAGCACCACTGATAGTGGAGGCAGAACTATCGGCATCACTGGTAGTGGAGGCAGAACTATCGGCATCACTGGTAGTGGAGGCAGAACTATCGGCATCACTGGTAGTGGAGGCAGAACTATCGGCATCACTGGTAGTGGAGGCAGAACTATCACCATCACTGGTAGTGGAGGCAGAACTATCAGCATCACTGGTAGTGGAGGCAGAACTATCGGCATCACTTGTAGTGGAGGCAGAACTATCAGCATCACTGGTAGTGGAGGCAGAACTATCAGCATCACTGGTAGTGGAGGCAGAACTATCGGCATCACTGGTAGTGGAGGCAGAACTATCGGCATCACTGGTAGTGGAGGCAGAACTATCGGCATCACTGGTAGTGGAGGCAGAACTATCGGCATCACTGGTAGTGGAGGCAGAACTATCGGCATCACTGGTAGTGGAGGCAGAACTATCGGCATCACTGGTAGTGGAGGCAGAACTATCGGCGTCACTGGTAGTGGAGGCAGAACTATCGGCATCACTGGTAGTGGAGGCAGAACTATCGGCATCACTGGTAGTGGAGGCAGAACTATCGGCATCACTGGTAGTGGAGGCAGAACTATCAGCACCACTAGTAGTGGAGGCAGAACTATCAGCATCACTGGTAGTGGAGGCAGAACTATCGGCATCACTGGTAGTGGAGGCAGAACTATCGGCATCACTGTAGTGGCAGGCAGAACTATCGGCATCACTGGTAGTGGAGGCGAACTAATCACATCACTGGTAGTGGAGGCAGAACTATCAGCATCACTGGAGTGGAGGCAGAACTATCAGCATCACTGGTAGTGGAGGCAGAACTATCGGCATCACTGGTAGTGGAGGCAGAACTATCGGCATCACTGGTAGTGGAGGCAGAACTATTAGCATCACTGGTAGTGGAGGCAGAACTATCGGCATCACTGGTAGTGGAGGCAGAACTATCGGCATCACTGGTAGTGGAGGCAGAACTATCGGCGTCACTGGTAGTGGAGGCAGAACTATTAGCATCACTGGTAGTGGAGGCAGAACTATCAACATCACTGGTAGTGGAGGAAGGGAGATCTGTCTGGACCACTGGTGGTGTAGGCAGGGACACCACCAACTCGACTCAGGAAATCGTAATGACACGATTGCAAACAAACCATACCACGGGAGGGGATTGAACTCGTAGCGAGTGAGTCGTAAGCCTCCAGGCCACCAACACCACTGGTTGAGCAAAAAAAGAAATCAAAGCAACAACATCAATAGTATGAACGAGTTTCCTTGCTCCCCAACTGCTCCAGACCACCTAGCAGCCAAGATAGGTACCTGCAGCCGACTGTAGCCGATCAAATTCAGTGTAAAAACACCAGATGGAATGTCTTATCCTGTGGAAGAGAACACGCATTCCTGTGTAAGGAATATTGAAGTATTGGGTAACAGGTGTCCATGTACTTAGTGATGGCAATTTTTATAAATGATTGCCTCAGTTACCAGCATCAGCGCAACAAAAGAATTATCAAGAAATTCAAATGAGATTGATCTTACCGTAGGGTAATAGAGAAGGCAGAGTTTTATAGGGTGTCAAGGAGTAGTAGGAATGATAAGGTTGAATGTGTAGTCGTAACAGTAACAGAGGCACCACGAGCCGAGTCAAAATTCTTTTCCTGTCTGTTACAGGTATGTAACAGACAGGATTTTTTTTTTATGCTCGTAGCCTAAGGTAAGGCTGGGCTTCTTCCCTTCTGACTACTTTAACACCTTTTCCGCGGCCCACAAGCCTACAGAGCTATGATAAAAAATAATCATGCAACACCCTGAGTACTTTTATTGTGGAGAAGTTCCGCCAACCACTGGATTTTTAAATTTAGCATAAATATATACTGGAGACTGTAAGACGAGGTAATCAGTCCCTCAGCCTTGATAAATGTTCAGTCTCATCTATCACTGTCTCCAATGTAACCTCTGTTCACTGAATTGAAAAAGTCACTTCCTAACAACTGCCATCACAGCATAATGACACTTTTTACACAAAGTGGTGCAGTTTCCTCTTGAAAACTTGCTTGTTCTTCCATCAATATTTTTATATCTGCTGTTAGAAGGTTGAAGTCTCGTGGACAACTGATGTTGAAAGTGTTTCATGATTGTAATTTTTTTTTAATTTCTGCTTGCCAGTTAGTGGCTATAAAGTGTACGGTGAGAGAGTCTTTGTAATCTCAATAGTTGGTACTTCTACACTGGTAAACTCGAAAGGTGTCTTATGAACTCAATCAAACTGTGTATTTGCCGACATTTAGTGAGACGGGTGCCAAGGTGTGTGAGATCACATTAAGAGGCACGTAAGTTTCCCCGTCTTCTGATAACATGTTCATTTCTCCACTATAATCTACCTTGTTCATAATTACTGTCGCATTTGCCTTGTCTGTTTCATAATATGAAGTCCAGGATCTTTCCTTAATTCATGGTATAACTTAACAAATCTTTGACGACGTTCTTCAAGTGCTGGTAATAGACTGAGCCTAAATACAACTTAAGCTACACATTTATTACTTTAGTCTACCTGAAATACTTAGGTATGTTCGGGTCTTTCTTTGTACTTAATAACATTTGATAAAATGTAAATAACACATTGTAATCTGTGCAAAGAAACCAAAAAAAATGTTGCATTATACCCCATCTCTCCAGGTATCCTGATACCAGACCAACTCTTATTCTTAATTTGTCACCAGTATCAGATTCTGTTGGCAGTCTCCTCTTTTCTCACCAACATTCCTACTCTCATTACGCGTGTACCCAATTTTGTTTGAAATCCTCAGGATGAAGCCAGGGAGTGTGTGTCCTTCAGTGGAAGGCAGATGAGGTGTCTCTCACCACCTGTTGGTGCTATTAGTCAGCAGCTTTCACTCCAGTACCCATGCAACACCTCACCCACTCTCCTTATTTTAATGGTATAGTGTTGATAAGCAGATGAGTAAGACACTTGTCTTAATTGTGGAAACGTTTCGCCTTCTCAGCAGGCTGTTTTGTAGTACAATACAGGTGACTTACATAGTGGAGACAGCAGACGCCGTATCTTGAAAAATTGGGGTGTGTTAAAGGTAGCTGAGTCTCAGCTTCTGGCCACGTTTCCTAGACTGCTTTGATATTATTGATTTGTGTCCTCTTAGGGCCGCATCATATCTATTCCTCAAACTGTTGTGTTTGTCTCCACTCCATATGTTTAATTACATATTTTTAATCACCCATTTATAGCTACAGAAGCAGAGCTGTGCTCTTGGTGCCTCCTCTTTAATAATGATCTCATTATATACATAATTATTTAAAATTTTCAGTAGTTGTAGCACGGCGCCCACTTGTGTGGTGTGTGTGTGTGTGTGTGTGTGTGTGTGTGTGGGTGTTATAAAGCAACAGGATGTTTGTCTCAGTACATAGTATTAAATGTGACTGACATGTTCCGTGCCCACAGGTCCTGGCGTGTTTCGAGGAAGGTGAAGAAACGGTCACCGCCTTCGTGGAGCCCTTCGTCATCTTGCTTATCCTGATCGCTAACGCCATCGTGGGCGTGTGGCAGGTACGTTCTTCCTCTCTTCTAGTTCAACTCAGTCACCCCTCATATGGACTCTGAAGATATCATGTCATCACAAAACCTATATACGTATTTCAAACACTTCATCCAACTGCCCAGATGTGGACGCCATGCCGACGATGTTGCGTCTCCTCTCTGCATCACCAAGTCTCTGGACTCCAGAAAGACAAGTTCTGGAGTCCTTGATTTCCTCTGACAAGTTCGTCACTTAACTCCTTCGGAAACTTGAGTGAGCACTTGCCCCATTACCTAAGTGTCTCTGACTATTCGAACGAAGTTGTAGTGAGCACTTGTAAATGCTAGAAGGAAACCTACATGCAGAATAGTTGATGTATATATTTCGATCTGGGTATGAGAACCTCATCAGCCCGGAGGATGGAAGCGGAGTGTTCTTGTGATGCAGTGTGTGTTGTGTGTGTGTGTGTGTGTGTGTGTGTGTGTGTGTGTGTGTGTGTGTGTGTGAGCCAGGGAGAGGCTGAAGTCAGTGTTAACTCGGCGAGAAAGTTAAGCGTTACACTGACACTCTAGTAATTTGTTAGATGGTCTTGTGTGTCCTCGCAGCACCTGGGGAATGTTACCTTCCCCTCTTTCATTCCTTCACACTCCATACCTCTCCCTTTATTTCTTCTCAAATTCTTACCCCTCTCTTCCTTACCTCCTCTTCCTTTTCTTTCAGCCTCTTTTTTCCTTCAGCCTCTCTTCCTTGCGTCCTCCTGTTCCTTCAGCCTCTATTCCTTACCTCCTCTTCCTGTTCCTTCAGCTTCTCTTCCTTATCTCCTCCTCCTGTTCCTTCAGCCTCTCCACATAGTTCATTCCTCTCAATTCTGGTACTTGCCAGGTTGCAAACCTTTCCATCTTTTCGTGTTTCTTGACGTGTTAAACCAGGTGTGGGCTCTATGCTGGGGCCGCGTACTCAACGATTGCCTAACATATGTCTTATATGAGGTTCTAAACGATTCTTTAACTTCCTAAATACTATTGTGAGGTGTGTGTGTGTATGTGTGTATGTGTGTATGTATGTGTGTATGTGTGTGTGTGTTGTGTGTTGTGTGTGTGTGTGTGTGTTGTGTGTGTGTGTTGTTGTATGTGTGTGTGCGCGTGTGTGTTGTGTTTGGGGGAAGTCAGGCTATTTTCACTCCCTGTGCAGCTCGTACCTCCCTCACCCTTTTTCCCTATGTCTCCCTTTAGTTGGGGGTAGGGGAAAAAATGCCAGGAGGAATGGAGGGTACGACCCATTCACTGTATTGACGCAGAATTGATGTTCACAGTTGTAGGCTAGTTGTAGTGTTAATGTAATGTAGTGTTTATGTTGTAGGTTTATGTTGTAGTGTTTATGTTGTAGTGTTTATGTTGTAGTGTTTATGTTGTAGTGTTTATGTGTAGTTTGTTGTAGTGTTTATGTTGTAGTGTTTATGTTGTGTGTTAGTTGTAGGTTTATGTTGTAGTGTTTTGTTGTAGTGTTTAGTTGTAGTGTTTATGTGTAGTGTTTATGTTGTAGTGTTTATGTTGTAGTGTTTATGTTGTATGTGTTGTGTAGTGTTAGTGTAGTTTATGTTGTAGTGTTTATGTTGTATGTGGTTAGTGTGTAGTGTTTATGTTGTAGTGTTTATGTTGTAGTGTTTATGTTGTAGTGTTTATGTTGTAGTGTTTATGTTGTGAAGTGTTTATGTTGTAGTGTTTATGTTGTAGTGTTTATGTTGTAGTGTTTATGTTGTAGTGTTTATGTTGTATGTGTTTATGTTGTAGTGTTTATGTTGTAGTGTTTATGTTGTAGGTTTATGTTGTAGTGTTTTTGTTGTAGTGTTTATGTTGTAGTGTTATGTTGTAGTGTTATGGTTGTAGTGTTTATGTGTGTAGTGTTTATGTTGTATGTGTTTTTTGTGGGGATTTGTAGTGTTTATGTTGTAGTGTTTATGTTGTAGTGTTTATGTTGTAGTGTTTATGTGTAGTGTTTATGTTGTAGGTGTTTATGTTGTAGTGTTTTATGTTGTAGTGTTTATGTTGATTTTTAGTGTGTTTATGTTGTAGTGTTTATGTTGTAGTGTTTATGTAGATTGTAGTGTTTATGTTGTAGTGTTTATGTTGTAGTGTTTATGTTGTATGTTTATGAGATTGTAGTGTTTATTTGGTAGTGTTTATGTTGTAGTGTTTATGTTGTAGTGTTAGTAGTTGTAGTGTTTATGTTGTATGTGTTTATGTTGTAGTGTTTATGTGATTGTAGTGTTTATGTTGTAGTGTTTAGGGTTGTAGTGTTTATGTAGTTTTTAGTGTTTATGTTGTAGTGTTTTTGTATGTTAGTGTTTATGTGATGTGTAGTGTTTATGTTTGTAGTGTTTATGTTGTAGTGTTTTATGTTGTAGTGTTTTTATGTTGTAGTGTTTATGTGTTAGTGTTTTTATGTTGTAGTGTTTATGTTGTAGTGTTTATGTTGTAGTGTTTATGTAGATTGTAGTGTTTATGTTGTAGTGTTTATGTTGTAGTGTTTATGTTGTAGTGTTTATGTTGTAGTGTTTATGTAGGATTGTAGTGTTTATGTTGTAGTGTTTATTGTGTGTGTTATGTTGTTTATGTTGTAGTGTATGTTGTAGTGTTTATGTTGTAGTGTTTATGTTGTAGTGTTTATGTAGATGTAGTGTTTATGTTGTAGTGTTTATGTTGTGTAGTGTTTATGTTGTAGTGTTTATGTTGTAGTGTTTATGTAGTGTAGTGTTTATGTGTTGTAGTGTTTATGTTGTATGTGTGTTTATGTGATGTAGTGTTTATGTTGTAGTGTTTATGTTGTAGTGTTTATGTAGATGTAGTGTTTATGTTGTAGTGTTTATGTTGATGAGTGTTTATGTTGTATTTTTTAGTGTTATGTTGTAGTGTTTTGTTGTGTGTTTATGTTGGATGTAGTAGTTTATGTTGTAGTGTTTATGTTGATGTAGTGTTTATGTTGTGTAGTGTTTATGTTGTAGTGTTTATGTTGATGTAGTGTTTATGTTGTAGTGTTTAGTTAGTTTTATGTGATGTAGTGTTTTGTTGATGTAGTGTTTATGTTGTAGTGTTTTTTTGATGTAGTGTTTATGTTGTAGTGTTTATGTTGTAGTGTTTATGTTGTAGTGTTATGTTGTTGTAGTGTTGTAGTGTTTATGTTGTAGTGTTTATGTTGATGTAGTGTTTATGTTGTAGTGTTTATGTTGTAGTGTTTATGTTGATGTAGTGTTTATGTTGATGTATGTGTTTATGTTGTAGTGTTTTTATGTTGATGTAGTGTTTATGTTGTAGTGTTTATGTTGTAGTGTTTATGTTGTAGTGTTTATGTTGATGTAGTGTTTGTTGTAGTGTTTATGTTGTAGTGTTTATGTTGTAGTGTTTATGTTGATGTAGTGTTTGTTGTAGTGTTTATGTTGTAGTGTTTATGTTGATGTAGTGTTTATGTTGTAGTGTTTATGTTGTAGTGTTTTATGTTGTAGTGTTTATGTTGTAGTGTTTATGTTGATGTAGTGTTTATGTTGTAGTGTTTATGTTGATGTAGTGTTTATGTTGTAGTGTTTTGTTGTAGTGTTTATGTTGTAGTGTTTATGTTGATGTAGTGTTTATGTTGTAGTGTTATGTTGATGACTGTAGTGTTATGTTGATGACTGTAGTGTTATGTTGATGACTGTAGTGTTATGTTGATGACTGTAGTGTTATGTTGATGACTGTAGTGTTATGTTGATGACTGTAGTGTTATGTTGATGACTGTAGTGTTATGTAGATGGCATGCGTCAACACACGGAGGATCGAGCCTCCACTGCTCCTTGTCCTAAATGTCTTCCATGTTTAATAATCGTCCATAAATGTTTACACTGAATAAATATTGATGTTAGGTAAGTAGGCAGGGGCTTAGGAGGGGTAGAGGTTGAGGGGGAGGGGTGAAGGATGGAAGGGGTAGGTGGGAGAGGGAAGGTAGGTTAGGTTAGGTAGGTACGTGGGTAGGTGGTGCACGCAAGGGCGTAAATCTCGGGTATTTATAATCGTGGTGTGGCCTCTAGTGGGGGGTTGATGTAGGTCAGTGGATGAGGGGCCCGTCATCTATCGATCGAGAATGTGGGTCGCTGATAGATCGGTGGGAGGGGGGTGTTTGTACGCCCCTCCCCTCTCCCTCCCTCATTTTCCCCAATCCTTCAAACCAGGAAGTGACGTCGTTTCTTCCCACCGGAAGTGACGCAGTTGTAGTTTTTAAGGAGATTTTGAAATCATTCGACTTAAGCGAGTAATCTTCATTTTGATCTACCTAGAGTCTACTTTCAATCTATCTCGAGTGTACTTGAAACTTACTTTGGATTTAACATGAATCTACCTTGAATAAACCACGAATCTACCTTAAATAAAACATGATTCTACCCAATATCCACTGGGTATGTGGTGCACAATAAACTAACCACTACCATCCGTGTTCTTCAAGAACTGCAAGAAGCCCCTGTCATGTGCCTTGAGCATTCTGTGGAAAGGTATCATGGACACAGGGGTCATCCCACACTCACTAAAAATAACAGACATAGCCCCCGTCTACAAAGGTGGCAGTAAAGCAATTGCAAAGAACTACAGACCTATAGCGCTAACATCCCATATAACAATCTTTGAAAGGGTTCTAAGAAGCCACCCACCTAGATACCCATCAGTTACACAACCCATGGTAACATGGGTTTAGAGCTCCTGACTTTCCCAACTACTGGACCACTACAACAGAGTCTTAAATGCTCTGGAGGACAAACAAAATGCAGATGTAATATACACTTTACGAAAGCCTTCGACAAGTGCGACTTGTAATAGCGCACAAAATGCATGATAAAGGAATAACAGGAAAAGTTGGTAGGTGGATCTATAACTTCTTAACAAATAGAACACAAAGGGTAATAGTCAACAGAGTAAAGTCTGAGGCAGCTACGGTGGAAAGCTCGATTCCACAAGGCACAGTACTGCCTCCCATCCTGTTCCTTATCCTTATATCTGACATTGAC